AATATATTGCCTAAAAGTAAGCGATAGGATTGAGAAATAGGTTATTTAAAATTCATAAATATGTTTATTAATTACCATCATTATTTAATTATATATTATTATTTATTTGGTTTCATTTTAATTTTATTTTTTTATATTATTTAAAAAATGGAGCGAATGAATTATTTCCTCATTATAACTAATGACATTATTATGTCATTAGTTTTAATGAGTATATATATCACTCAATAAAATAGTAAAAACACAAAAAATGTTTTTCAAAGAAACAGAACCCCCCCGCATTAAATAACTTGTTTTTAGTTTTAGTATGACTAACTTGAGTTCTACCAATGGGTAGTTTCTCTTCATGTTGTACATGCCATGATACAAATTTCTCATTTACTTATTGTATTCTCTATGTAATACAGTTGTAAATTCCATTAAAATAATAATAAAAAAAAAAAAAAGTATGACTAACAGGAAGTAATGTACGTGGCTAAGGAAACTGCTATTTACTGTCCTCCAGTTCCTCAACCTTCTATTTCAAGTACATAAACCACTTTTTTAATAATTTTTTAGACGATTAGACCACACTTCTAATTATAACTTTTTATACTTAATTATAGATTTATACATTTTTTTATTCAGAAATGATACTATAATTGAATAGCTCCCTGTATTTTTTAATTATCTTACTTATAAATATAATATTAAACCTATTTTCACATTCTTACATGAGAAGGATAGAGGCGTGGGATCACCGGTTTACAATGAAACTATTTTGTTGATACTAAATTAAAAAATATTTTACCCGTGTCTCACGGTTTATACCAAGGAACCCTAGAAGCCGGGAAAAAATAGTTTACATAATTTAGTCATTTTCTTTTATCTTGTCACTACATTGGCAATTTATGGAAAAATGTCTTTGAATAATATTTTATATTTTTTTATTTATTATATTTACAACTGTATTGGTATAAATACATCAAGTAAATGTGTACAGAGGAATATAATGACATGAAAACGCTTGTTGAGAAACTATCCATTGCCAGTACTCTAATAATATGTCCATATAAGGAGATCTCGATGACATCTTCTTTTCAGACGCCTCGGAGGGTTATCAGGAATCGAAGAGGAAGCAAGGTTAGAAACAAGATGATTCGGATGGTTATGAATTTTCTTATAGAAGGATAGATATCTGGATTGGACCAAGTCGGAAACATATGGAACATTAAGGTGTTTATGGATGATTTTATTTGTGACAAAGTAAGGAGCATTGAGGATTTACGAAGGATTTTGGATTGTAACGATTGGATACAAGAGGAATTCGATGATTTAGTGGAGCCCTAAAGCTCAATTCCGTAAGTCCAAATAGATCTTATTATTGTCATATATATGAGTCTTTTGTAATTGATTGAAAACTTAGGGTGTTTGTCTAGTAAGTGTTGGAGTAGTCGGAAACGTCGAGCAGTTTCTTGTCGTTTCAGTCTTGTATGATGATTCCATGTGAGTCGTTTGTCCAGGTGGAGTCCCAGGTACCGGATTTGTTCAACTATGATAAGTGGGGAATTATTAAAGGATACTAAAGAGTATCTAAAATCTAAATAGTTTTAGTATATACATAGTTTTGGAAGGTATATTAAGGAAAGCAGGTGGATACAAGGGTAACAATATTATAATATATGGAACATATGGAACAATAAGATCATTTTATAATCTTGAATTGCTAAAACCTTTTATGAATTTTAACCTACCATCCATAATGCAAACAATTATGTATACTACCAAAACCAACTAAACAAACCTCTCTTTGCCATTATAGTGCATGATGGACATTTTATTATTAAGTTAAAAATAAAATACTATACTCGAAGATGGGCCAGAAGCTCGAAACGCCTGACTAAGAGATTATAAATAAATATTTACAAATGGCCTTCAATTATTAAAAAATAAGAACTAACATAATTCTTGCTGATAACATAAGCGTTTCAGTCGACAGAATGACTAACTCCAATTACAACAATTTTGAATATTAATTTTAGTGATAATTAAAGTGGAAAAATCTATCCCTTTATTTACAATCTGTATTTAAACACAGCAATCACGTACTCTGGAATCAACTTACTCACTGTCAATACAGATATTATATATTTTCTAACTAGAAATATACCTAAAAAATAAACATAAGAAAATAAAATAAAATATATTTTTTAGATTAGATTAATACTGTTTGTTCTTAAAATCATTAACCTTTATTTAAATTCTGTTTGTTCACTTACTCCTTTTAACTCTCAATTTTTATGAATTTAATTCAATTGTACTATCATATTCATCGGTAATTATTTTTAACTTTCTAAACTTTAAATTGTATTTCTTAGCTATAGTTTTGTCATGTATGACTATGTAGTAGTTGATCCAATTGTAATATAGGGCGAAAATGACCCAGGTGGTTGAATAGCCCAAAACATTTATAAATAAATAAATATATAAATAATTCTAATCAGTAAATTTTTGAAGGTGACTCCAATTAACATTTTATCATAGCTAATTCATTCAATTTCATATATCACATTCTGTTTCTGTATTTTTTCAACCTCGTCTTACATTATTACAAAGTAGAATATTAATTTACATCTTTAATAATTTAATACTTTCAATCCGAAGCCCTTCGAACAATAGTCGATTCTACGTTTTATGTAACCAACAAAACCTTACACTATGACATCAATACTCCATTTGTCCTAGACATTATCCCAGAAAAATTCTTAAAATTTCACCTGAACCTTAAGTGTAATTTAAATTCTCTTGCACAGTCCTTATCCAGCACCTTGTAGAACTGAGTTTTTCATGTTTTTAATTTACTTATATTTAAATTATTATTTTATTGTATATACTTTTTTATTATTGTTTAGTTGTTATTTATTTCGTTTTTTTAAGTAAATATGGTGTGAATGTATTTTAATCTCACTGTAACTGTTAACAGATATTTTTAAAAACATTTATATTATAAAAAAGTTGCTGTCACATCCGGCCCATGTAAAAATCTTAAATACTGAATATCAGTTTCGTACTACTTTTCGTTTATGAGCTAGACACACACACACACACAGACCATTTTGCGACACTTGGTTATTTGAACTCAGGGAACCTCAAAGCATGTATTTCCATTGAAAACTGAGATTCACAAAATTTTCATTACATATATATGTAAGTGAAAGTAAAAAAAATAAGAGAAGGAGTTGATCTGAGGGTGCGGTCAAATAAATACTAAATTATGCAAAAAGTATTATTTATTTTTTTTGCCGACGTTTCGACCCACTTTACAGGTCTTCATCAGGGCTACAAAAGATACAAAATATGGTGAAAATAAATGAATATAAGTAGATATAAAATGAGAAGAATTTGTCTGATAAAGAAATAAAAAGATGATATCAGAGATATAGTGGGTGACAATGTAGTTAAAATATCAAGTATTATATATATATATATATATATATATATATATATATATATATATATATATATATATATAAGATACAAACAAAAATGGAAAATAAGTATGAATAATGGGAGAAATACTTTATTAAAAGTAATGCTGCCCTACTACATAGGGTTGCTTCGTACACAGCATACTTATCAATCCATACAGACATTTATATTACATTTTTCTATTTATATATATACATATAATGCCATCATCAATTTCTATATATTTTTGCCAGAAGGTATACTCTTCAGTCTAAATAACGTGTGTCCATTTGGAGGTCTATGAACAAGGCGATTAAAAAAAAAAAAAAAAATTCATTTATCTCTCAAAAATACCACGGTAATTTATAAATCAAATATCTTACTCTATGATTCCTTGTCTTGTTTTAAATTAAGCGTTAATCCCTGCATTTTCTTTTATATATATATATATATATATATATGACATATCTTTCCTTTCTTTTCTTTTTTCTTCCCTTTCATAACAATACTCTTACAAATTATCAACAATAAAACCATATTAAGCAAAGAAACCAAAAAAAAAAAAAAATAAATAAAGGAGAATATAGCATGTAAGTTAAAAGTAAATAGATTGCGATAAAAGATAAGGAATCAGTTTATACCAAACTAATAGAGATTAGGTTATCAAATATAATCTTTATTAGTTTGTTATACACTCATTCCTTATCTTTTATCGCAATCTGTTTACTTCCTTACATTTATTTTATTTTCACCATGTTTTGTATCTTGTGTGGCCATGATGAAGACATGCAAAGTGGGCCGAAACGTCGGCAAAAAAAAATTCTATCCTTCTCTTTTTATATCACGGTCAACCATGTGTACATCATTATAATTTTTTTAAAAAATCTTTTTATTGAGAAATAATACATTTTGCCACATTTAAGAGCACTGAGTACTAAAGCTGAGTGAGGCCCATTCATACTATATATACAATGCAATAAAAAAAATAAAAATAAAAATAAATAGATAAAAAATAAAAATTTATATCTATATAACAAAGGTAAAAACTATAAAACCAAAGAAATGTAACTAGAAATCAAATTTTAAAAAATATAGAAAATCTTAGCAAATTAAATAAATTATAAGTAAAACAAATAAATAGATAAAAAAAAACATTCATACTTAATTACAATATTTAGAATTATCCAAGGGAGCTCCGAGTCCAGCCCTTTCCTCCACGTGTGAAGGACAAAGCGAGACAATAAAAATTTTCATTGCAACTAAAAAAAAAGTTTGCTGATATTCACTAAAATCTCTTTTTCTTTTTGAAGGCCACATTGAGTTATGAGGAAAGAGACCGAGCTCGAGATACGGTAAATCACCTAGTCAGTCCCTAACTGATACGTTAGAGGCGGTTCAGAGCAATGTGTCTTCTTACCGCGCTGGTAATGCAAGTATGCACATATATGCAAATGTTACCAGTGCATAATTAATGCAAACTGGAAGGAACAGTGAATGTAACCTTGCTGACCCAAGTGCATGGGAAGGGATCGAATGGATAAATAGGAGGCGATCTCTCTCGAAGCAGTTCTAACTGGACCTCGATCTCTAGGGCGCACCCTATCTTCCAACATGTTCAACCTGGTAAGTCTTTATTATGTTTATGTTATGTATGTATTAGTGGAAGTGCGGAAATTATAAAATTTGGGATAAAAAAAAATTATTTTTCTAAAAAATTAAAACAATAAAGTTTTCGCCTCATTAAAAAAAAAAAAACAACTAAGATGTGTACTACAGACGACAGTGACCACAAATGAAAAAAACGCTGCAATGGTTTCTTATTTCCAAACAATTATACATCTAAAGTAACATTATCTTCCTAGTTACAAAGAAAAATAAACAAAAGGTGATTCCAATTATTGGACTAAACTTTTTTTTTTTAATCATTAGTAATATGCTAAAAAAAAAAACAGCATTACTTCAGTAACACATTCAAAATTTAAAAACCAAACCAAGGACATAACATTTCAGTAGAACATCTAAAAAAAATCTGGTGCGCGCAACACACAACTTTCACTTACCGATCTACTATGAATAGAAATTATTTTCTGGCAATGCTGGGCTGTTATAAATTTTTTTTGAAGTGCATTTTAAACGGAGCTAAAGCTTAAAGCTTACAGATAACAATTCATTAAAACCTTTATAATTACAAAATATCGACAACAGGGAATAAAAATCTAGTCATCTGCTTTTATAAACCACACAACTTTCTTTGCTTTTATAAACTTCAGAATGACTAACTCCAATTTCAATATATTTAAGTGATATCATTTTAGTAATATTTTTAGTTGAAAGAGTTATCTATGCAGAATATGAGTAAGTTGATTCCGGAGGTTTCGTACGTAAACTAAAAATAAAGGTATAAATTTAGGTACTTATTTCTTATGAAAAATGTTCATAGGAAAGATACTTTATTAAATATCTGTAGAAAAAAGGTTTTTTTAGTCTCAACAATTAAAAAAGTATATTTTAAATTTATCCAAATTTTCGCCTCTTCAGGGAAAAAAAAACTAGAGACCATATCTTTCCTCCTAATTGTCCGATTTAAACGGTTTGTTTTTTAGGAAATTCCATAAACTTTTTAAAAAACATATACAATATACCCAAAAAAGTGTAAACTTTTTCAAGTTATTTGGAATTTAATTTTACCATCCCTCGTAACTTTTTTCCCAGCTTCTTACCGTTGAAGTATGTTATATAGATAAATTCAAAGGGAGTCGAGAAAATGACTTTAGCGAAGTTTTATTGAAATCTGTACATTCGTTTAGGAGCTACGGTTTATAGCAACGCAGGTTTTTCGGCCGCCATTTCGAAAGTAAAAGGCGGATAGTAATGTCAATGAAGGAAGATCATCCTCGGGTGACCTCTGATTTTATATCAAAATTTGAAAAAAATCGATCCAGTAGTTTCGGAGAAAATGCGCGGACGGCGGACGAACAAAAAAATTTATATTCGTTTTTCGAATTATACGCATTCTGAAACGTGAAACCTCAAATTTTGAGAGAGGGTTAAGTTTTTTAATTTTTTGGTCCATCACAATGATTGATTATTGAAAATAATAAACCAACATAAACAACGCGAGATTATTAATAATAGCTCACTATAAAGGGTATAGAATGTTAAACTATTCCTTATTAGAAACCTTATTCTAGGCCATGAATAAAAAAATTAGTTCAGGATTTTTTATCTAAACTTTTAAAAAGCAAATAAAAAACTAAGGTGTGTGCTTTAAATGATACGATAGAAGTGAAAACATCAAACACGCGAGATTATAAAAATATGAATTATTTATTATAAATAATAGCTCATTATAAAAAAAATGAAATGATCAATAATTCTCTCGCTTACAGTATGCAGGTCCAATTTTTATTTTCCGAGATATTTTAATCCATATCATCCATAAAATTCTTTATGATTTGGTTTTCAACACTTTCGCCTCTCTAACACGGCGTTGCGTCAAGATACAATTTCGAATAATAGCCCATTACATAGAGGATGAAATGCTCAACAATTTCGTCGCTTACAGTATGGAGGTACGATTCTTAGTTTCTAAGATATTTTTATCATTTTGAAAAAAACACTTCAATTAGTCGACTCCAGCCGACTTTTCGTGAGCGTTACACATCGGAAATCTGATGGCTCAATCTAATTCACTCAGAAGTTTTCATTTAAAAATATTTTATTGTATTTAATGTATATACAACCAAATTATTAATTTGTTTCATGATTTTTTTTCTCTAAGAAATCACATAATTTTGTACTAGGTTAACTGTTTCTGATGTATAAAAGGTTTGTTTAATTTGGGTAATATTTACGTGTTTTTACATTAATAAGGTCGAAATTCGCTAAAACGTACCATAGTTTAGAGCAATAAGCAATTTACAATTCGGTGAAAAAAGCAGATTTCAAAATTTCGACGTTGATAAGCGGATGAATCGAGACGGACATGTTTTTAGAAAAATATTTTCTATTTAAGCTGAGAATTTTAAAAGAAAAAAAAAAACAATATCTTATATAGAAATTCGTAGAAGGTAATGGAGAGTGAAGATAGAATTATAAATAATAATCACAAGTTTCTAAGAAAATCCCACCGAATAGAGGCAATGACATTGTTAAAAATATTATTTCATTGTACTTCTGTGGAAGATGAAGTAAAATATAAAAATATTTCATGGATTTGTAAAACGTATGTTTATAACCTGAAAGGTCATCATGTAACATTTTAGAAAATTAAATTTTAGGCTCAGTTAAATTTCAATTCCATTATAATAACCTTTTTCATAAACAAAAAAAAATATAGGTTTTAACACCACAAATATACGGTATCGGAAAAAAGACCTACCTACAAAAACTTCAAACTTTCCAATCAAAATTATTGCGACTCATAGCAAAAACACCTTGGTACGTGACTAACAAAACTCTACATACTGACCTCCACCTTCCAACAGTTTAGGTTAGTTTACAAATCAAAACATATAACATTTATACTTCGACGAGACACATGACCATCAGTTTATATCGGCGATAACCAAATTCCCCAGACGGACACTGTACGTTATCTCGGGTTAATATTTGACGGAAGGATGTTCTGATGGAATTGAACTCACTTTTTTCGAAATCAAAATGTAAAATCAGAAAAAAACTTAATACATACACCAACCTACTTAAACCCACATGGACATACGCCTCACAAATTTACGGTTCTGCAAAAGAGACGTACTTACAAAAACTACAAATATTTCAATCCGAAATTTTACGACGAAAGTTTAGGTTGTATTGTTATAAGTTTATAACCTACGTACACTGTTTAACACTGCATGAGAACAGACCAGATAATATTTTTTTTAATGGTAAGATTCATATATGAACTTTCAGTTGAGAGAACGACTAACTCCAATTTCAACATTTCTGATTATTAATATAAGTAACATTTCTAATGGGAAAATTTATACTATATTTATATATTCTATATTTCAACACTGCAATCACCTATTCCGGAATCAACTTTCTCACTGTCTTTACAGATATAAATTTTCCTACTAGAAATATCACTAAAACGACTTTACTCATAAATTTTTAAATTGGACTTTATATCTACTGATAGGCTCATATAATCCCTATAGCTTTCAGAAAACGATAGTTTTAAATTAAAATATTAAAACGTGGTAGAGACCATATTATATTCTTCAAGCATTTGATTTTCAGTTTGAGGGTGCAATGAGTTTCTGTCTTTGGCAAGGTTTCTCATCTCTTCCAGGTCTTTCTTTTATCAGATATCACTTAACATGCCAGGTCGTTTCAGTAGAGGTTGTCCATAACCGAGGCTATTTACGTAAACTCTTTGAATCGGATGTACTCCAACAAGGTTGATTGTTCCAGTAGGAAAGGCCCCTTTACTTCGGGACGAATAGTTGTCAATTATACTCCTGGCATTAATTCTTCCGAGGGGAGGTGATCTAGATTTGTGTACTGTATGTGTCCTTACTGTCAGTGTTTATGTGTAGTGTACTGATGTGAGTTAGTGTGCTGTGTACTGAACTCAGGAAACCGGGGGATCGTTAATCCCCACTAGTAGAGCACAACTACTAGCCCTTGCGGTATATATCGATAGTAGATGATATCGAAGTAGGCGTCATCCATGATAAAACATCGATTATCGGAAGAAATATATCGATCAATAATATCGACAATCGATAGACATCCCTTACCACCTCTTTACTAAATATTATAAAACGGTCTACAATTGAGTATACTTAATTAAATTTATCGTGTGAAATGTTGGAAACTGGAAGTTGTAAACAAATAGGAATTAAAATTAATGGCGTATGTAAATACAAGCTGATTAAACAACGTTCAAGCTGGTGAGACACGTTACACTTCCTTTAAACTCCCGGTGATTGGAAAGCCGTGTAAATACTCCTTGAAAACATTCTAATTTAAAATTCAACAGAGATTAGTTCTGTTGGAAGAGTGCTACGTTATTTATGTGGGAAAGCCATCTAGCTATTGGAAATACCTAACTGTTGAATAAGTAGAATTATTTCTAAAGATTACCTTGTTTATTCCCACATTTTTCTCAATGTATTAATTTGTCTTATTTCAACCATAACATAGACAAAAAAAAAAAATTAAAAAAAGTGCGTGTATCAGATTTTCTGATAAAACTAATAAGCAATATAATTTACAGTATGCACGTAGGACATCTATTTATGTTATTTTTTTTTCAAATCAATTTACTAAAATAATAAATTATTAGATTCAACTGTTCATAAAGACATCAAAATTAATGTTATACTAGTAGGCTCGTGGGAATAATTCGCACAAAAATTTGTTTAGTGAAGAAATAACAAAACAAAATGGAAATAAGTACATCCTATGTATTATGTGAGGAAGGAATTAATATTTTTTCCTTGGTCGATTACAATATTCCATTTAACATAACAGACCAAAATATTTGTACAAATGGCTTTGCTAGGACATATTTTTAAATGTTAACTGAAAAGATAATAAAAGTAATAAAGACAAAATAATGCCCCGATCATGGGATTTTCTAAATTATTAAAAGAAATAAAATGTAACAACAA